ACTGCATCCTCCAGCACCGTTTTGTCTCGTTGTTCTCAGTTCCACTTTACCTACTCTTTGGGAAGTGGCGAAGAGTGAAAGAAAGGAGAAAAACCAATGCTTAGGTTGTTGCCGTGTTTGAGGGGATCTTATGGAGCAATCGCTATTCCAGTAGAAAAAAAAATAATCATTGTTTACACATGTATGGAGTATGAACTGCAACTAGTGTAGATTCGATGTCTTATAATGTTCATCGTTTTTTGGTGACAGTCCCAAGGATGTAGGTACTTGGATGGATACAGTGCATGGTGTTTTTTTTTTTTTTTTAAGATTTGCTTCTAAGATGCAATAAAGATTTTTTTTTTTTTATTTGCAATCTGAGCGCCTCGTGTCCTCTGCCTCGGTCCGCGTCTTTCTGCGCTGCGTGGGCCCAGGCGGGAAGGTCACTCGCGTTTGGGGAGTGAAGCAAGGCAAAAGGCGGGGTGGGGGGGGCATCTCTCACCCAGCGTTTTGACCTCGGTGTTGCGTTGTGGCCTGGAATAAGGTTTGTGCCACGTAGCAAAGCTTTGGGAGAGGGAGCACGGTCTGTTCGTGGGTCGCGCCGGAGCGTGGTGGGCGCTCCCGCTGCTCTGAGCTCCCCGGGTGGTGTCACGGAGGGCTCGCGAGCGCTTTTGCTGCTAACAAACATCCGCAACCATCACCTTAAAGAGCATGCGGTGGCAGGGCCGGTGACTGCGTGACGTTTTGTCTCTTCAGGACACGGTAAGAAGAATTATTAAAAAAGTGTTGAGCGCTTATTTGGTAATAGCTCTGCCAGTTTTATCACAGTTGTTCAGTATTGGTGGGAGGCTTTTTTATGGGAAAAATTTACCCCCCCCCCCCAACCCCAACAGGAACACCGGAGGGACTACAGAATTGCTTCTTCACGCTAGCGACTAAGAAAAATAATACTAGCATTTGGGGCTGCAGAAAAGTGCTTGAAAAATATGACCCCTAAAAGAGCTGAACAAGAAGGCTGGGGAAAAAAAAGCCTTATATTTATACTGTATTTATTAACTTTTATGATTATGTAAGGTTTTTGGTTTTTTTTTTAGCCCATAACAGGTGGAGAACGGAGAAAACTAATGAAAAGCACCCGTCTGATATTAGATTGTTTTTGGTCAGTTATTGCAATGCCGATTCAATTACCAAATTTGTTCAAGGTGCATTAAAAGCAGGTTTTACACCAAACTTGAGGCCACGCATCTTAATTCACACATATTTTATGGCCTTGCAGCTTAAAAGTAATCATCTGTTTTAAAGTTAAATTTTAAATTATAGCCCTCTATGATAAAGTCTAACCTTATAAAAATCACTTTATACTAAAATAAGCCGCATTTGCTGGCCGAGCGTTAAAGAAACGGCGCGGCACCGACCAGCGAGGGCGAAGCCACCCTCTGACCACAGGCACTTTTGGTGCGGGACCATGGCAGGTGCCGTTTCCCCAGTTTGCGTGGTTCAAGGCGAGCTTTACTCAACGCGGAGAAGCCCGTGAGCCCTGGGAAAGCGTGGGAATAGCTGCTTGCCTGCAGGCTGCAAAGAAGAACAAGGAGCGAGGACAACGCGCTGCTGCCCTTTGGAAACCTGGAAGAGCAGGCCCGCGGCGGGGCCAGAGGCTTCCCGTGCTCGGGCAAACGATTTCAGACGCAAAAGGCGCCTTTTCCCCCCTCGCGCTGGCGGGTTTTACCACCCGGCGCCCTTCCCTGCGCCGCCTGTGATGTTACCACCGACGCGGCACGGGGTTAAAAAAGAAAAAAAAAAAAAAGAGCGTCTTTCTTTGCTCTTTTCTTAGCTTATTTCTTTGCTCAAGAAGAAACAGCAGCGTAAAGAGACCGGCGAGCTGCCGGCCCCGGCCCGGGCAAGGCCCCGCGCTGCCGTTTGTGACCGTAGCGCTCAGCCCGACTAGTCACAGGTTAAATATTTATACGTAACTTTGCAGAGTCAGAGTCCGTGGAAACATTTCAAGTTTTGGTCCTTTAGGCACAGCGGGGTTTTTATTGCCCTAAAAATAAGTTACCAGCTCTGTGCTCCAAGCAGCTTCCCTGGACCTGGCTATACGGTTCCTTTCAGCGGACTCAGCAAGAAAGGCCCTACTAAACCCAAAGCTGCTTAGTCTGGCGTTTTTTTCCTTAAAGGTCTAACTTTACATTGCAAATTATTAGACTAAGTCTTTTTGCATGAGTACTTGCTAAAAATATTCCGCTTGCGCAGCCAAGCTCGCTCAAGAGCTCGCTGGAAAAACAAAAACAAAAAACAAAAAAAAACCAAAAAACCCCTCTTTCAGCGACACTAAAAAATCGCCAGCCGGGTTTGGGGAGCAGCTCAGCAGCTCGCGCACGTCACGCTCGGCCTCCGCTGTGTCGCCTGTGACAGTCCTGCACGTGGAGCCGTTTTAAACGACTATTTTTGAACCCAGCTCTGTGCGAGCTCGGTGCCTGGCGGTCAGGGAACAGCGTTATCGCGCAGACGGGAGCAAATTGAGATCCACCCCCCTCCCCCCCATATTCGCCTTCGAGGGCCTGCCGGGGCTGGCGGGCAGCGTTGCGGCAGCACTTCCAGACTCGTCCCGACCGGGCGCTTGGCCCGCGTCCCGGCTTCGCCTCACCTCGGCTCTCCCG